CCAGAAGAAAGATGGTTCCTTGGACAAACAATAGATGGCACAAGCACCATTTTCGTACTATAGGGGGGAGTAAATTGGAGCTGAATCAAACTGAATTAAGCTGAGACTTTTAATATCCCAACATTCCAGCTAAGGGTTAATGCCAATTTGCTATGAATGTTTGATTGGAGCTGATAACAATTTGCTGGTAATTTGTAGACAAATTACTTACTAGATGCTTACTAGATTTTTTATGTAAAAAAATCATATTATTGTTGCTGTATTTACGTATGAAATCGTGTACTTATATACGTGTATATACGTGTATTTACGAGAATTTTCTGATAGTTTTCTCTATTTCTTCTTATTTCTTCAATTTATGAAAAGTTCGATTGTGACAATTTTGCAATATACACGATGGCATTTTAATATTTTTGTTAAATAGTCGAAGATTAAACATATAACAAGTATTACTGTTATCCAGTAAGTACTACTAACGTTAACTTAGCGCTAAACAAGATGACTGAAAGTCTAAACTTACTCCTCGCTACTGCTTTAACATCCCGGCCCTTGCACCAACTTTTAAGTTTGTTGTCTGTACTATAATATATCGAGATATACAGGGTGTCCCATAACTGGTAAAACATTCGTTAGGGATAGGTAGGGGATGAAATTTGGAACTAAAAGTTCCTTTTCCATTTTTGGATCTAATAATTAGTTACTGAGATATTAAGTAATTAATTCTGCCAATCCCTTAGCACTCCGAGTGAGTGCTCAGGTCCGTATGACGCAGTGGACTCCTTAGGGACCCCGTTTGTCTATTTCTCTCCTCTTTTTTGTATCACAGAGGAATAAATATAGATGAGTGAGTGAGTGGGTGGGTGTTTGGATGGGTGCCTGACCGGGGCTAGGGGCAAGTTTTCAATGTGTGGGTGTAATGTATGGGTGTTTTTGTATGCGGTTATGAGTGCATGGATAATTTGAATGTTTTTGGTGCGAGTGGGCGAAGTACTTGCACTTTACGTGCCGGAGAAAAAGGGTATATGTAGTACACTTCCTTCGAGTGCGACTTGAATGTTTTCTGCACGTCGATGATTGAGTATCGTGAATAATTTTAGTGTGTATGTACAAAAGGGGAGAAAAACGGACAAGCAGGGCCACTGAGGAACTCACGGCGTCCTACGTTCCTGAGCGCTCAAAGCGCTAAGGGATTGGCAAACTTAATTAATTAATATCTCATTAACTAATTGTCGGATCCAAAAATGTAAGAGGAACTTTCAATGCTAAATTGCACCCCCTACTTACCCTTAACGGGTGTTCTACCAGTTGTGGGACACCCTGTATTGCGTAGCATATGCTGCCATATGCAACTTGAAAAATGTTATGTATGTATCTAAGCTTTTCAATAAAATAATAATCTTAAATACTCATAAGAAAAGTAATAAAAAAATTAAGATTTGCAACATCAATAACAAAATGTATTACAAAATCGTATTTCTAGTTTAATTGCATTAGTGCCTCGCCGTTTTGTTGCAGAGATTACTTTTAATGGCGTGGCAAATACAGTCTGTCAAGTAAAAGCGTGTGCGGATTAATTTGTAGAAAAAATTATTTAATATAATTTTCAAATATATGAATACCTTGTACTCGATCCGAGCAAAGATGCAATTATATTAATAATGCGTCTAATCACCATCAACGTCGATAATTGCCTGGCATCTTCGAAGTATGCTTTCGACCAAGTTGACGGCGTATTCATGCGGTAAGAACCTGCAAATACGACGAATTTCTCGAGTTAACTGCTTCAAAGTGAATACTTTTCTTCCATGAAGCTTGTGCTTGATATATGCTCACACTCGATTGGGTTTGCGTCGGGCGACTGCGACGGCCAATCAAGTGTAAAGATGCCAGACTGCTCCTTCCACTCGGTGCAGAGCTTGCTGCGGTGTTTGAGATCATTGTCCTCTTGCAGGATCCAGTTCTCGTTGTTTTTGATGAACCAACGTTCGGCAGTCGATAATAAAGATTCTTTGTATATTTCGAGCATTTTCGGAGCATTCAGATTGTAAGTAAACAGATGCAAAGCTCCGAAACCCAGTTTTGAAAAGCAGCCCCAAAGATACACTTTAATTGGGTATTTAACGGTTCGCTATACCAACCTGTTAGTGAAAGTTGACCAGGCTCATGGAGCGATAACATATCCCAAATAGAAACTTCGTCCGTAAAAATTACATTGTTCCAATTTTGGTCAATATTGTCCTTCGCCCAAGCGAATTGCTTCGTCACGTGCTTTTCACCTAACAACAGTTTTCACTGTACTGCGCCATTTGATATCATGAGCACGGAAATGGTTTCGGATAGCTTCGTGTATTATTAGGACCTTAACTTAGTTTCCGCCCAAAAAATACTGAGAAAAAGCATTTATTGTAAAAAATTTATTTAAATTATTTCAATGAAAGTATTTTCCATCACTTTCTACAACTTTTTGCCATCTTTCTGGCAACTGGGCGATACCATCTCGATAAAACGATGTTTGTTTCGAAGCAATCCATTCGTCCACCCATTCTCGCACTTCTTCAACATTTCGGAAGCGTGTACCACT